GAGGTGTTACATTATCCATTGAACGAGAACTTGTACCGACTCTGCTGGAACTATATATTTTTCTACGTTAAATCTGTTGCGAATTGCATTTGGTTTTTACCAATCGTGGTAGATTACGAGTTTATTGATGATACATCATTATAAAATGGAATATTTTCAAAATGCGTATGCGCGTTTAGTTCTGAAAGTGTTCCATACCTGTGTTAAAACAAAGCTCACTGGTTCTTTGGATCGGATTAGCCTTACATTGTTATGGCGGATTTGTTTAAAACGTTGGCCTTCAAACTGGATCACTCATAGAATCGTATACTTCTCAATTGGAGAAAATTTTCACATAAAATTTTGAAAATCGATCAATTTGCTGTGAGGCGCAACAAAGGGTTCAACGTTTTTTAATATTTAACCAATCACTAAGAATCAACATTTTTAGCCGTATATTAATTTAGAACCTTTCGCCCATTTCGGAAAAGGTCCTAAGTGAATCATGTTTAATGTCGTTTGTTTTCAGTTGATAAATTATACAAAGATGCATAAATGAACACAGTGCATAGATATAAATAATTATGTATCTAGAGCGTTAAGATTACAACTTCCAGTCTACTTACAAAATTTCATCTACAGCCGGCTCAAATCAAGTACAACTAAAAATGAAAATAAATTGACCGCACTATTACACCGGTAGCAGCGCCGTCCCCTAGTAATGAATAAATAAAAACAGTTTTGGTGACTGCTTCATTGTGTTGAACATAGAACATAGGTCAATTTTTAGATATTGTGCGGTAAAGTAACTTCATATCCCTGTGGCATAAGTAGTTCTTGATCCGAAAATTTGAAAATGCCAATATTTTTCTTCTGTTTGATCATTCTTGGGCTACGCCAAAATAAACCTTAGGAAAATTTGAATTTTGAATTTCGTATGGATTGCTTAACAGGTTGACTGCCAGGAAAAAAATTAAAAATATCATCTGGTGCCAAGTTGAAAATAATCCGCCTGATAGTATTCTGTAAGCATGCTAGTAACTTATTCCTCCCAATTTTTCAAAATGCAATGAAAATTTTGCAAAATGGTTTAGCGGTCTTATACGCCCGCTCGGGCATGGACGGCATATATATGCCCTCCATGCCCGAGCGGTCGTATGAGCGGTCGTTTCTTGCGAGTTTGAACTCGTCTCTACGTTATGTTACAGTCGGGATTAGCAAGCGCGCACACTCATTTAGGGTTAGGATGCATAGAACGCTGAACGCAACAAGCAGCATAGAGAGTGCATTAGTTTTCAAACTCTAAAAATGAGTAGCCGATCTAAAAAAATTGTAGAATTGGCCCTTCAGATGGAGGAGCATACAGGTAAGATTTTATATGAATATAGAATTACATTCTACGCAATATTGTTGCAAATTTAGTGGTTTTTGCTAGTAAATCGTAGTAAGTTCAGTTCATTTATTTACAGATGATGAAAGCGATTCGGATCCTTTCAGTGCAGTTGATTCCGATTTGGATCCTATGTTTCTGCCATCTAGTAATGACGAACTATCTGATAGCTCTGACATATCTCTTACGGAAATAATAGGACAGAAAAAGAAATTTACAAAAACGACAGGGGAAAGACCAGAACAAGTATACAATTTTGAGAATCAACCGTGCTGTTCAAAATCACTTCCAGTGGCCGAATTTCAAGAAGCTGGGGTACAAAATGAAGACGGGACACAGAATCTCAATGTTTCATCGACTGAAACTGGAGACAATCTTGAAAACGTGTTAGATGAGGAAGAAGCTGCTGACCAGAATGAACACACTTGGAGAGAGCCTGTGGGCAATCACCAAGTGTTTGATTATTCTGCCGAAAGCGGTTTACACGCAGGTTATGCTGCAGTTCTTATCAACAATTTATCTCCATACAGCTGCTTTCGTTATTTTGTCGATGATGAAATCATAAATGAAATGGTAAATCAGACCAATCTATATGCAACCCAAGTTTTGTTCGAAGCTGAGGATGTGAGTAGAGAATCAAGGTTACATCGTTGGGTTCCAACCGATAAAGGTGAGATGCTAAAATTTATTGGCATTGTAGCATACATGGGCATGGTTAGGATGCCATCATTAGAAAAGTATTGGAGTACTGACGAACTTTTCCAGATATCTATTATTCCAAAAGTTATGTCAAGAAATAGATTCCAGCTGCTCTTACGAATGTGGCACTTCTCTGATAATAACGACTGTCCAGAGGGTGATCGTTTGCATAAAATCAAACCTTTATTGGATGCGTTGGTGAAGAAATTTCAAGAAATTTATACACCTGGTAGAACATTTTGCATTGACGAGTCTGTTGTTCCTTTTCAAGGCCGTCTCCTATTCAAACAATACATTCCAAACAAGACGCATAAATATGGCGTGAAATTGTTCAAACTGTGTAGCGATAATGGATACACATGGAATATAAGAATATATGCTGGCAAAGAAAAACAAGAGAGAGATGCGTCTGTGGGAACAAATATTGTGCTTAAGTTGTCACAAGACTTACTTGATACAGGTAGAACTATTGTTGCCGATAATTACTACACCAGTCTCGAGCTAGCGAATATACTTCTTGACCATAAGACACATTATATTGGTACACTAAGAGCAAATCGGCGAGGCAATCCAAAAGATGTCCTTCTTCTATCCACTAAGCATACCACCGAAACCGTAGATGTTCAACGACGTACTGGTATTGTCAAAAAGCCACGAGCAGTGATGGAATACAATGAAGCCAAGTCGTCGATTGACCAATCTGACCAGATGGCAAGCTACCATTCACCTGTAAGGAAGTCTCTAAAGTGGTATCGAAAACTTGCCATTGAGTTCCTCTTGGGCACAGCGCTTGTAAATGCACACATAGTTTATAATCTGCTAGCAAACAAAAAATTGAAGATTCCAGAATTTAGAGAAGAAGTAATTAGGTCTCTTTTTACGGATCACGGCGATGCAGGGGAACTTGATGTACGTCAGGAAAAAATAACCAAGAAGACAGCCAAAATCCATACATTGTGCAGGAAAGAAGGTCAATTTGACAAAGTGAGAAAGTACTGTAAAGGGTGTTATGCCAAGAAATTGCGAGGAGAAATAACTAAAAACTGCGTGAAGAAAGTTGTAACTTTCTGTGGAGTGTGTGACGATCAGCCACATTTTTGTCTGAACTGTTTCAATACCACTCATGCAAAGTAAAATGAACCGTTATTTTGTTTATACAAGTGAATCTAAGCTTTTTTGCCCTATGTCTGTTACATTTTGTAGTGTGATTTGAGTTTGAACAATAAAAATGCATATGACAAATCTGGGTAACTTTTTTCATCAAATCAAACAGATATACATGAATTCGGATCAATACCCTAGGCCCGTATGCCATAGCGGTCGAATTGCTCGCTTATACTGATTCTGAGTTCGACCGCTGGCACGCAGAGAATATAAACGTAGCACCGTACGATAGCGGTCGTATACGACCGCATCCATGTAAATTCATAATTTTACGACATATTTTGTTTCTGACATCGTTTTTTTTTACTAAAATTATCATCTTTGAGCGAAAGTAACCAAAGCGTAAATGAAAAATTTTGTGTGACTATGATATTTTTCAGTGGGTGTCAACGACTTTTTCCGAAAGCCATTTACCTATCTAATTATACCCGGTGCTTTTGCAGCCTACAGTTGACTTGGATACGAGAAATGTGCCGCACATGGATGCATTTCATATCGGTATATTATATTGCAAGCTATAGTTAATCGATGCTCGGAAAAATCTCTCAGCCAATTACTAAGTCGTAAAACCCGTAAAATCGACTAAATATATATATATATATATATATATATATATATATGTATACGTGAGCACTGGTTAATTTTTTTTACTGCGTTTTACTTTAGTTGTTGATAATACATTTTTTTCGCGTGACCCAAGTACATGATGAAATTCATATCGGCTATCCTACATAATGGCAATGTACTAAAAATAGTCATTCCTCTACAGCTAAATGCAACTATAACAATCACCCAAGAATCCGTTGTACTTAAATTCTGATTTATTTATTTCATTTTTATAGTTGTTACAATAAAAGAAGTTAGCTGAAATCATGGGTAAAGCTCCTCCAAGCCAATTCGTAGAAATAGCGTTTTGATTATAAAATGACCCAAACGTAGACACAGCCGTATTTTGTTTTGGGTTTTTGTAGGCTACAGATTCATTTTGTACTTGCAAAAAAATCTTTTATTTAGGAACGTTATATTGCAAAGAGAAATGCTTCAAGCAATTTTGACTATATTTACACCTGATTTCATTATTGCCACCGTAACAGACTAATACAAAGATGTCAAATCACAAAACGTGAACGCGTCAAATAAAGACTGATGGTAACTAGGAAAAAGGTCTAAAAGTGACTAGAATTGCCCAAAAAATTGACGGGAAGATAGAACAAGCTCAAATCTGGAAATTTGTTCATGAATTTATTGTTGTGAAGAATTTCACAACAATTTTCACGCTTACATGCTCCAACTTCTTCAAGGTTAAAAAGTTGTTCAATTTATTGAAATGTGTAAAGCTGCTAATAGTTTTGTTGGTGTGTTGTGCCTCATTCATTGTACAAATTGCTTTAGTTCACCGATATCGAGTCCTACCTTTTACTAAATACTGCCCCTATTTCCAAACAGCAATTTTTGACTTGGTACAAATTAATGATATGACGTTGCCTTGCAATGAGCTGCTCTGATCTGGTCTGCTATATATCACCGTTCTGGACTATCGATTTATTCTTCATTGTTGGAAAGAACCTGTCTGGAGTACGCGTCGATGTACCCCGCTTAACGCTGTAAACGGTGGTGCGCGAGACCTGTCATAGCCGGTCGCTTGTGTGACAGCGGCTGAAAATTGTACTGAATATTTTGCCTGAGTGTAGATACTGGGTTACATATTCTTTGGCATTTAATTGCGGATGATATCGTTTTTTTACATAATCATTCCTTATTTGGTATTACTCAATTCAAGTTCACGCATGTTGACCTTCACGTCATTGATAAAATTTCTTTGCAACAACAGCAAAAATAAAACAAAAGCATATGCTGGATAATACAAGTCGTTACGAATGTTGTATACATTCTTACTGACTCATTTGTAATTTTAAGTGACGTTAGCTATAAGAATGTTTGTGCCATTTTTTCATTTTTTTTCCTTTGTAACAGGTTTTTGTTAGGAGCTACACAATTTTTTACATATTTTTACACTGCCTCCAGCATATACTACACTGAAATGATTCCGTGTAGGTATTTACTTCAGCCTCAGATTAATATTCGGCAATGGCCTATTACTTTAACAGTTTATGTGCAGTAATTCATATTTACATAGTATGGACATGTTAACCCACAACAAAGGGCAGGAACCTAGTGGCTAAAGTTTATCATATCTGCAGAGGAACACAATACGCGCTGAGCTTTGGTAAGAAACTAGTCGATAACAACTATGTTATGAAAATCTAATCTTCAAAGTAACGATTCCATTATTCTACTTCCCACAACATTGAGAGACGAAGCTAATGTGATCGCTAAAGGTTTTAGAACGTTTTATAACCTGAATGCCAAGAAAACGTTATATACATACTATTGCTCTTTTCACGGTTTTTGGTGGTTACGTCACAATGCCATTCGAAATGGGTAAACAGGTCGACTGATGGTGCCATGTGCATTGAATAACTTGGAAAATTGCATATTCCTCTTGTACAAAAAATTGGTTTCACTCACTTTCTGAAAATACTTCTAATACAAAGTGTCGCTATTGTAATTGTATCTTCATTCACTAGTATGTTTTATATCAACAAGCATAAATGTGGAACACTCACACGTTGGCGAGAAAATGTGTTAGGGATATGGATATATGGAAGTAATTATTTTACTTCTACTGCGGCCCCCCAAAAGCAATGAAGAGACCTATAATGTATATTACTCATTTTTTTCAATCTTCCATTCTATGTACCTGCAACTTCTTCATCTTTTTTCATACCAATAATCGTCCTACTAATTCCAATCAAATATGGTATTCTCCGACAAGACAAAATTGCATTACTAATAGCTGAAATAGATTGCTCAAATCCATTTTTAGGGAGAGCGCAGTTTATCCTCGTTTCTCGGCTAGTTTAAATTCGCACATTGATAGAGAACTAGTTAAATTATCTGTATTTCCCGTCGTATCTACAATAGAATTTGATTGTCAATGCGATGTCAAACGCTAAATCTCAGAGGATAAATGTTATTGGGTATTGGTTATGGCAGAACTAGGGTCGAAATCTAAGGAGAAGGCGTAGACATAGTTATATGTGTATCTAGCACCGTGGGTTCTAACCTGTCAAGGGACATAAATGCTATTGCCTCCAAAATGAATGCAAAATCTAAACCAGCACCGGCTAAAATAAAAAAAACATAACTTAAGAAGAAGATTAAAGATTTGCTTTTACGCTTCCCTCTCCTTCCAGATGAATGATTTTATGTCATAGTAAAATTATTGTGATGTTTCAAACACTTGAATTTTTCATGTCTCCTCCTTATGTGTTAATTGGTATATGTATAATAAAAAATAAATAAATGGGTTAAGTCACTCAAGGATACTATAACATCTCTGCCGGCGATGCTGTCAGATGGAATGCAGGGTTCGGCGTATGGCCATCGCCGTTGCACCGCCGAACGGCGTGTCTCATCTATAGATATTTCTCTAAGTTATAAGGGCAAATGTACGGGGAAATGTTTGATGTGTGAAATATGCACTGATAGGTACCAACCCCCAAATTTCAACTCCTACATACCGAAAATGATCAGGAGCCCGTGAAAACGTCTAAAAACAAGGTTTGGGTGATTTTTATTTTTTTCGTGTTTTAATACCCCATCTCATTTTCGCAACTACAATAGTTCCTCGCCAGTGAACGTGGGAAGTAAAATCAAGATTAACCTAGTGTTTTTCAGTCAGTTGATGGTATTTCTGTTTGTTTTAGTGTGGCGTTGGTGAGGAGAGATGGGAAGTGAGCACTACTGTTTGCGGTGGAACAATCATCAATCGAATCTGCTCGGGGTGTTCAGTCAACTGCTGCGCGACGAAAGTCTGGTAGACGTTACGCTGGCCTGCTCGGAGGGGCACTCTATACGCGCCCATAAGGTAATTTTCTTCTATCCAAAGGCATTTTATGGAAATGAAACTTCTAGCATATAATCAGTGACAAAAAAGATAGAACACCCAGCAAAAATGACATTATTTGAGTGAAATAGTGTATATAGTTAGACATAAGCAAGAGGAAGTCATTTACATTTTGAAGTGAAAACTTTTTCGGCTTTGCAAGATTTTTCTTGGGCCATCTTGATACCGTATATATTCGTCCAGTCGTCGGAGAATCCTTCTGATGAAGTGATTAATGCTTTCTTCGGGTATATCATTCCAAACTAGCTGAACATGATTCCGAAAAGCTGCTAACGTTAGTAGAGAATGAAGTAAAGAGGTCGCTGTTCTTCCCGTTCCATCCTACGCATTTTTAATTCGTGAATGGTTTGGAGATCTAAGGGACCACGGAAGAAGGTCGATTTGTCCGTTATTGAGGCAGTCCACAGAGCTCTAACAATATGGGATATGCCATTATCTTGTTGGGAAATGAGGTTCTTAAGCTCATGGAGAAATGGCGAAATATGAGGTGCTTATAGTGTCGGGATATACTAGAAGTCACCTGGCATCATATGTAATGGCTCCTCAAATCATGACTCTTACGGTCATGGTGCAAGTGAGACAGCATCCCTATAAAAGAACTGAAACCGATAAAATTGGGATAATAAATGGCATAACATTGTTTTTAGTGATCAATCTGCAAGAGTCAGAAGGCGAGGCGTTGAAAGGCATAAAGTTTTCAGATAAGTGTCACGTGCACCGTATCGCAGCAGTTCAGGTGTAGGACGATATTAAATGTAGTGTCAAGTCACCTTTAGTTTCCACCAGATGAGATATGACGGTGCGGCGCAACAATATGAAGGCAAAATACTGGAACCATATATTTTGCCATTCCTCCAAATGCCTGCAAACGTTATTTTTTAACAAGATAATTCCAGTCCCCATATTGGTAGAGCTATTATAGCTCAATAAGGCTCTAGTCACTCGTTCCTTGTTCTCCTAGATCTCGGAACCTTGGGAAGAAGAAAAGTTACCTCGTTACCTTGAGATGAAATAGCTGAAGAAGACGTAAAACACCTCATCATGCACCGATTACTAGACGAATGTATACGACGTTGGGATGATCCAGCACGTTACTAGGGAAATCCAGCGATATAGCCAATATTTTCACTTAAAAATATAATCATTACATTATATTGGTCAGATCTACATGTACACCAAGTTGCATTCAAATAACATTATTTTACTGGAAGCTCTATTTTCTCTGTTACTACGTGGATTTCTCCGCCAAAAATTAATTGCACACCTTTCACCTTGACGTCATGTTTCGTAGTATAAATATGTAAGTCTCACTCAATCATTTGGGGAACCTTGCGTTACTGCTTGGGATGTCTTTCGATAGTGGGTTGCTGAATTTCTTTCTGACCATGCATCATGTTCCCTATAACATCACTGCCCAAGTCTGGACAACTTGATTCTAGGTGTTAAAGTCAGGGTTCAATCTGAACTGTACCTATAATAAGAAAAACTCGTCCAGGACCTCTATTCTTGAGTTTGAGGGAGTAGAAATTGTGAGAGAAAGTGTCAAAAAGTGGGTGTGGTCAAGAAATGCAGTATTCTTGAAATCAATTCAACCGAAAACTGATAGAAATGAATTCACCTTAGGAAGTCACGATTTCTCTTGGTACCGACCAAGACAAACTGGAAAAATTAGTAGAAAATGTATAACCTAAAAATTGACGTGTTAGGCATTGTTATTGTCGTTCCTGCTAAAAATATTGTAAAAAATGGTTGACTTCAATCAATTGATGTATTGGAACGATATTAGCGAGGATGTAGACGAGGCAGTTGAGGAGTGGGAGATCGAGAGAGATATTCTTGGGCACTAAGGTGCTTTCATAATTTTGGATCGAAAATTTGTACAGATGTTTAGTTTGACTAAAGATTTGGTGTATGAGTTGCTGGAGATATTGACTCCATTCATACAACCACCCCCACGAGCTTCTGCGCTTTCGATCCAAACAAAGACAAGAGTAGATATTAAGTTTTGGTCATTCTGGAACAGTGTACTTTAATCTATGATTGAATTTTCCCTGGTGCATTTGGGGGTGCTCTAGGAGAAATTCAATCATTTTGTCCTTTGGTTTATTTGTAATGTGCTTTTTTAAAGTTTTCAGCTCCGTAGATAAAATGATGAGGAAATCTTGAACAAAATCTTTGGTTAGTTTTTGACTGTCAAAACTATCTCAATTTTGATTGGTTCAACAGGTTTATTCAAACCTGGCAACCTTGTGTCTTAATTTCCTTTCCCCTTTCTATCGAGACCTTTCAAGGATACCGTATTTTCGAATTGTTAGAAAACCGGGGGAGTAGAAAAAGAGAGGAAGTGTGTATTAAAGTCAAGAATACGGGGACAGGTCGTAGAATGTTGGGATTCAGCTTTAATGTCTGGAAAGCACTTGGAGAATTTTATCGAGCTTTCTGCCTGCTTTGATTGGACAAATCTGTCGCCTTTCTGTTTAGCAACAACCGAAGTCGTACATGTTACAGAAGATTGCATACCTCACGTACTGAAAGTGCTTAAGTTAGGCTCCAATGACTGCCTTGACAAATTGTGTGATGCTAAAGACAGCTAATATAAAGACCCGAAACACCTCTTAAGGCCATCTGTCACGATAGAAAAGTTTGTTTATAATTTCGTACCAAATTTTGTGAGAAAATGCGTTACTGAATTTAATTCGCAATTTGTTTGCAAATTACAATCCTGACTGTCATAAATTTCGTACCAAATTCCGAGACCATAAATGTTGTAGAAATCAAATATTCTCCAGATTTGCCGTCAAACGGATATTTTAGTCGCTCAACAACATCGAAACTTTTGTCCTCGTCATTATACCTACCACCGTCCTAAAGACATCGAAGATCTCTTTCAAATGTCTTGCGACACGACTACGCCATTTTCCCAGAGAACTGAAAGATCGCTCACATTTAATTCCCCCAAAAAAGGATAAGACACTAGTCCTAACAAAAATACATAACTAGGCTGTATGTGATTATCAAAGTGATCAATTATGAGCCACTGAAATGTCTCAAGCATATGTGCTTGGTGACCGTGCGGCCGTATGGTTTCTGACACCAGATACCTCCTAACGCTCACGTCACAAGATTGTGTTCTGAGATCTTTCACTCATTTGCTAAGCCTAAGAACATTGTACTTGATATTATAAAAGCTAGACTCTAGCGTGCTACTAACCGATGCAAACTTCCATCCTCTGGCCTCTCGGAGAGGCATTGAAGGTAGTTTCCTGATTTTCAGGATCTTAATGGGAACACAGGTGTTCCTCTTGGGTCGGTTTGAACCTATATCTGCGATTGATCTGGAGAGACGTGATCTCCTTTCTTGCAAAGGACCTGGAGATTATCACATGTGTGCATGCAGTTTGATTTAAAAGCTTCTCCTAAGACTATTGGCTCAAACCTTATCGGGAAGGTGGTGAAAGTTTACAGTACGATTTAAATATATATTTTGTTCCTGTTTCAGGTAGTGTTGTCAGCGTGTTCCTCCTATTTCCAGAGCCTGTTCGTGGACCATCCGAGCCGACATCCGATCGTGATCCTGAAGGACGTTCGATTCTCGGAACTCCGAACACTCGTCGAATTTATGTACAAGGGTGAGGTGAACGTCGAGTACTGCCAACTCTCTGCCTTGCTCAAGACGGCCGAGAGCCTCAAAGTCAAAGGTAAGCTTAAATACACCCAATAATAGTTCGAAAAACCACTTTAAAGAGATTTCTCTAAATACTAAATACAAATCAAAAGTAACAGTTGACTAAATCACGCGGTTTGTTGGCGCGACGGCTTAAGACCGTTGTGTACTAGAGTGTTTTCATTGTAATGATTATTGTGGAATGGGGAGCGTGTAGGTCCCGTTTCACACATTAGATCTCGGCAGAATGAGTTCAAGTGACGCCACTGGCTTTCATTTAGATCGTTATTTATATCTACATCTTTGTATTCTATTCTTTGATAAAATAAAAAATACTTTCATTATTTTCAATATTCCAAAAATGACGGAGCGAAAAATTTGATCACAAGTGACCTTACGAGTCTACGCTTTTCGCACAAACGACATATTGATCGTTATTCTGAGGTACCTAGCGGAGGTGATTATGAGAAATGAAATAATGGGATTTTTTTTATGATGTCGTCTTTTTCACCTTTTCTTTGAAATTTCCCACTCCTCATTTTCAGGTCTGGCGGAAATGACACGCGAATACAAACCAGTAGAAGAAGAACAGACGGAACCAAAGGAGCTTGTGAACCGACGGCCCCCTCCCCCAGCGCCCGCACCAGTACCCGCCTCAGTACTTAGGGGGCGCTCCATGTCGCCGGACGACATGGAGGAAGACGAAGAAGACCCACTTCCCCCAAGGCCCATATCGCAGCCTCCATCATCCCTGCCCCATTCGCCCCCGCAGAATTTAAGGGTATGCAAATCACCCCACACCTCCATGGATGAGGACTCGGGGGGAGGGGGAGGTCCGCCCAGGCAGGACGATGACAACACCCCTCCTCCCCCCGCCGCACACCACGTACAAAAAAAGGTAAGGAAGCAACTAGCCAAATTTGTCCTAGTGGGTTCTTTGCTTATCCGTTATAGGGGATGATTAGCATGCATTCAACGTAAAGCTATAGAAGAATGTGATGATACGACTAATTACATTAGGCATACAAGGTTAACGCTCTCCCAGAATAAATTCTATGAGCAGTCGGACAGAAAGTACTTCACTGTTGCACTTTTTTGTTTAGTCACCCAAGATTGTCCATTCGTCGCTGTTGTTTGAACAGAACATTTTGCTACATCATCAATATGATAATTTAGAAGCACTACAGCAAATATACAGACAAACGTACCTTTCCACGTATGTCTATTTGAAAACTTTGGGTGTACTTTTGAACATGTCATGACTTCGTTGGACAGAATGCAAAGCAGCTGAGAAGCCAGAATTCTGATTTCAATAATACCATTTGGCTTGCCGGGCAGTTCTGATTCTGCTCTTTAATTGTAAGCAAGCACGTTCATATGTTTCGATAGTCAAGCAGTCTCGAACACAGTGTCATCCCCGAGGGCAAGGACACCCTTAGTTTAGGCATGTACAACTGCCCTTCACGGTTTAGCCCGATCTAAAGAAGTGACCCTGCTATAGGGACCTGGAAGAAGCGTGGCGATACAGACCAAGAGGTGCGTAGCGAGCCCGACAAAGGTCGGATGCGCTGGCTGCTGGTTACTGATTAGAGCAGAGAATCACTTAACCTTTTGGTGGGGTTTTCAACGGACACTGCATACTGAGGAAACACTTATCCCTTTCTACTCAGCGGTCTTGTTTTTAGGCTGTTACCCCGTGTATTGCGGTCTAAGGGTTGAGATTTTCGGGGCCATGGAGCTTGTTGATGAAGTTGCTTACTCAGCGAAATGATCCTACATCCTGACCCTTATAAGGCCACGAAACATCGACAGTTTAGTGAACTGACATGTGGAATAGAGTGTTGATAGGCTCTGGGTGGACAAAAAGGGCCAAAAGTGGCCTACTTGCATGGCTTCGCCTCCCCACCACTAACACGACTAAGAGTCAGCATCGCCGAATTGCTGTCAGTGCATATCCTTATATTTCTGCAGGATCTTGTGGATGAACGGAAATTTGGCGACCTCATGTAGTTTTTGTTTATATTTTAGCATCCAAAAGATGTATATTTTTGAATTTACCATTGTCTAACCTAAATAGGATTAAGCTTAGAGAGATTCTACTGGATTTTTTTTATTCAGATTGCGCCAAAGAACCTAATCCAGAACAGAGAAGTTGATATCCATTGAGAGAGCTAAACATTTTATCTTGTTCTGGTATCCCCCACGGACTTTGTCTAAAAAAAGTCTAATGCGGGTTTGTACTTTCCACGATAACTTGTAACTACAAGATATTAGAATGCTACATGCCGTATCGCCCATTTTCGTCAGCCTGCTTGTCTGTCTGTACTGTAATCCTTAGGCCCCTATAACTCTGAAAGTACGGCTCACTTTTTAATAAAGCTTTGAAATAAGGTTACTGACATGTCAAGGACAAACGTCTTTGTGGTGTTTAAAAATCGTTCACAAAACCGTATTTTTTCAGTTTTTGAATATTTAAAGGGCAATGAAAAAGGAAGGATCAAAATTTAAAAACAATACTTTTTGACGTTTTACAACTTATACTTCAGGGCGCATACTAAACGTCTGTAAGGCGACTCAAAAAAGTATAAGCTAAGCGCAACTGATATGTCCTTTATCAGTAATAACGTTATGGAATGAATGACTTATATCGAGACTTTGAATCAAGCGGAATCGCACAGCAACCCTCGGTTGCGTGACTCGGTGGACTATACAGTGGAACAAGTTCGTAAACATTCAAGGCCACGGCTCACACTGTGGTCAAAAATTAGCGCGAACTTTCAGTAAACTCAAAATTACACTCTAACAAAATTCGAATCAAAATGTGTTTTTAGTTCACCTCAGAATTAATCCGTGTACCAAGTCCTGTTAAAATGATACACTTTTGTTTTTCTTTGCTCTTCTCCTTTTTTCTTCTCTTTTTCTTTCTTTTTTCATTGACATTGTCTGGTTTATGGGCAATCAGGACTGACAGATTCGACTAACGTACATTAAATAGTGACTAATGGGCAAAGGTCCTACGGACCGCCCAAAGAAAACAAATGTTGAAGAGTATCGAGGCTTTAAAAAGTAAAAGTTACTTGACTTCATTTTCCCGAGGTTGTCACCTTTTTTGCATTTTCGGACTACAATTTTGCTTTGGACACAAACTATTTTATTTTGCATCATGCTTTCACTTGAGCTTCTTCTTCGTTCCAGCCGGAGGAGGAGAACAGCTGTCCCGGCGTGGTCACATCAGCCCTTCATCCGCAGCCGATAGTATCCAGCGACTGTGGTGCCAGTGACATGAGCATGCACAGCAACAGCGTACTCAGCGTGGCTGCTGCAGCCACCTCGGTGGTCAACCCCCCACCTCCATCTCAGCTTCTGCTGCACCAAGCCGTATCCACGTTGGCCACATCGCTGTCCTCCTCGTCGGCCGCTTCCTCGTGCAGCAATCGGCTGCCCTCGCCCATGAATTGCGATCCGGTGCCGGTGCCTGGACCCTCGAATATGCCTCCAGTACAGCAAGTGCCTCTGGTAAGGACTGCTTTCACTATCCACAAGCATGGTTCGAGGCACATTTATACAATATATTAGTACTTTATCTGCTCAGACGCTCAGAATATAAATGCAGGGAAGATAGTGATTTCGCTTTTATTCCAGCATTGTCCGACTGAAATTGCCTTTTTAAATTACATGTGAACATTTGAAAAAATATCATCCCTAAAATATTTCGTCCTCCCATCTACTTCTACCCGCTCGCACTGCTCTGCAGAAAACTATGTTATCCGATATTTCAATCACAAGTTAACTTTCTGGTTAGTTAACTATAAGAAGTTAACTTGTAGTTGACTGTAAATGCGTTTTTTAGGTATCTGCGGATCTTAGATATCGTGATTTGTGCTCTCGGCCTCTTGGTCTTGTGTCATACCGTTATACGTGTCATACATGACACCTCGTTCATTTTTACTCAAAGCCAGGTAAAGTTTTTCAAATATTGCTTGTAGAAATCTTTACTAGCGGACGCTATAGACGGGATTATAGAAATTGTGTTAAAAACAGGTGGCAAATACACTATCCAACTAACCTTACATAGGTCAAAAATACAATTAATTTGTAATAAATATATGTTAAATATCGTGTTTTCTACGTCTTTTAGCATCACTTCTATAATTCACGACTCAAAAATAAAGGTCTGCAGCAGCGGGGAAAAAAGGCTGCTGAAATTTATCAAAAGCTTCTAGGATGGAGACAGAGGACATCAAAACAGGAGCTCAGAGTTTCTCAAAATAAACGAAAGCATAATAGAGATAAAAAAAAGTGGCACATTTTTCTTCGGTTTTTGTAAGAAGAAATCCTGCAAGAAAAGTCGTCGAATTCATCAAAGTCATTCGGCCGATGGCGGATTATTTTATGCCTCTTCGTATCTGCTATACGCATTCACGTCGTAATTCATATACATGTATAGATTTAATTTATATTTACTCATAAAAGTCTCTGTCAACAATCGTCAGGTATTGCTATTTAACTACAGCCTTTCTAGTTAACTCACAGATGGTCATCTGGTTAAAATTTACTATTACTATAAACGTGATATTGAAAAACGCTTTTCCATAGATAAGTACGAGTATAAGACCAAAGTCGTAGTTAACCTGCGAATGAAAAACCGGGCCTGTGTGTTTCATTAACTACCCGTGTATGAGCTTCCATCGACTATTTTGTTCTACGTATTCATGTATACAACAATGTTGTTCATTGGTTCAAAGCTGTGAAATAAATTTTGGAATAGGGTCATCACCTGCGTAAATTATATGATACACGTAGCATCTGAAACTTGTCCTGTGGTTTTCATATTGATAATCCCCCATGCTTGTCTGGCCAAATCAAAAATACATATATGTTTAAAATTCCTCTTCATTAAACGACGTTTCAATATCAACAGTGACCTTCTTTAAGTTCAATTGACGTATTTTGACAATATATTTTATTTATCTGACTTCCAGGTGTCACTTTGTTTGTGCCGTCATTGCAATTTAAGATGGCACCGCGCAAAACCGGCAAATCCCAGGACTGTGTGAAGTAGGCATTCCCGTTTACAAAAGGACGTCCAGCCCTCCAAAGCGATAAACATGCATGAGGTTATCTGTCATTTTTTAACAAACCTGACACGTTACCCTGCTCTATCGTCCCGAAAATGCCAAAAGTCGTCCAAGAAATGCTAAAACCCACCCAGAGTTGTAACATACCGGTTATTCCTTATGCAATATTCCACTAAAATTCTACACGTGCATTGTTTATGGATCTGACCTGCGATAAATGGTAATTCGACATCTAAGAGGAACCATGGTGTTTGACTTGCGAGCAGATAATATAAGACACAACAGTTTGCTCTTGACATGGCGAGGTATGATAATTTATCGTAGTGTTACGATAACAGCTCTGGGTGGGTCTTAGCGTTTGTTTGAGGACTTTTGGCGTTTTCGGGAGGATGGACGAGGGTGACATGTCTGGTACATTAAAAAACGACGGATATCCTCGTGCTGGCTTGTCATTATTTTAGAGGGCTGGAGGTCCTTTTGGAAGCGAAAATGCTTACCCCAGGTCCTGGGCTTTGCCAGTTTTGCGTGGTGTCTTCTTAAATTGCAATGATGGCTTCGAACAATCGCTATCGTAGTAACACACTGTATAGGAATATGAAAATGCAATTAAAGAACAAACGAAGTATCACCTGGAAGACAGATAAACAAAATATATTGTCAAAAAGTTTCTATTGAACTTGAAGATCACCGTTTTTATTGAAGTTTAAACGTATGTGGTTTTGATTCGGCCAGACAAGCATGGGGAATTAAAATAGATGATTTCGGCTGTATGTGTTACAGTCAAAACTCATAACCGGTCAATAAAACAAAAAATTAGTCAAAAATGGTTTTGACCGATTTCTTTGGTCAAAAACAGTTTTTACTGATTTATCCAATTAGAAATGGACTTAATCTACATTTTATGTCACAAGAGACTTTGATCGACGTTGGTAGTCAACAAATGGTTTTCCTCACTTTTGCAAGGACGATGTCAGTATCTCATTAAATTCGCACGTCTCTTTTTTCGCTTTTTTTCGTCTACCTGTTTGCCTCAGTATTCAAAATCCTTTTCATGCGATTATTTCATGGTATGTATAGAGATGACAAAAACAATGTTTTCAATTTTCTATCAAAAATGCATCATCGTGCATTTTCCCTACAATCGTAACTTGTTAACAAATATTAGCTCGTACAACTGTGGAATTTTGTGTGAATATTCCACTTTTATGGAAGATCGAAACGGGTGGATACTTTTACTTTTACTTTTCACAATTCAGTTTTCAAGAAAAGCAAAAGATTTTTGGAAAAAGAGAAGGTTATAAGAAAACAAGTAATTTCCCGTTTCATTCTTACTCGTACATAAAAGTGGAATGTTCACATACGATTTCAGAATTGTACTTAATATTTGTTAACAAGTTACGATTGAAAAAACATTGTTTTTCAGGGAGAAAGATCACCCAATCTAAATCAGATTTTTGTCGAACTTTCTGAGGGTCAGCTATATTTTGAATCGATAGGAGCAGTATTCAAACGTTGTATTTTAGCTAAGATAAAGGATTTGATTTTATTTTGAACCGCCATTGTAGAGGCAATATTTCATTAGTTGTAGTTTGACCGCGTCAATATTACTGATTTGATTGTTTTCCACTCATATTATCTATGACGATCTAACTGGTCACTATGCTGTCAAAATTTCGTTGGATTATACTGTCTTTTATATGTAAGTATAATTCTGGAGAGAAAGCAGCATTCTGTCCGAATGGGCAATAAGCGTGTTTTTTTGGAATAACCTAAAATAAAAAACATCATGGAGAGTAGCATTCCTGTGAGTAATCTCTAATACTAAATTAGTTGTTTATGTTGCCACTCAAGATCACCGCGGTCCTATTACCAAATCAGATGGCAAATGGCATTTGAACCTATTAATTAGATCGTTATTAAACACGTATAATCGGATTGCTAACACATTAGGATGTGTTTCATCACTTTCACTATATCTAGCACCGAACTCTTGGATCATTTCAGTTATAGTCGAAATCACGAAAGATGACGATTACGTCATCATTTTAGTCTGTAGTAAAGACAAAGACTGCGATTTGTGATTTTTTTAATGAAGTTTTAAATATGTTAGACATAGACAAACAGATTTTTATTGTCTAAACAAACTGTATTGATAATTTGCATGCATCCAACATGTTCTCATGTTGCATGACCGATCATATTTGAAAGATGAATAGTTAGGTTATGTTACAGCATGTTATGGCTGTTTTCGAATAATACTTTGGTCTTTGGTGTTAATGTCTTAAGGTGTATTCTACTCATAACTGTTCTTTCAAAACAAAAACTCCCCACTAAAATTATTATTAAGGTATCACTTAAAACCATGAAATCAAATGAAAATAAAAATAATCAGTGAATTAGCCTAACTTCGCAAAATCATAGTATAAGTTCATGACATGATTTTATCATCGACGTACGTCCATTGATTACTGCAGTACAATTTATGGTATGACGAAATAGTCATCTTTCGTGATTTTGACTATAGTTATAAAAGCTTGTAGCATTATTTTCTATATTCTATACGTTCTGAGCTTATGCTTGTGCTGGTAAAAAATCATTAATACAGATGAAAGAGAATAACTACCTAGGTAGTCAGCCAAACCATTTTGGATTTACTTGCTCAAAATCTAGAAGGGTTCATAAGCATTGGCTACCTCGGTACTAAGCAATAATATCCACAATAATAGCTTTTAGCCTTGTATAAATAGGAACTATTCATGCTGAACAAATATGAAAGAATTAATAAGAAATCATGTTTTCATTGATCACGCGCTGAAACATTTCTTCCGCCATCACATCTAACTGATATGACCATCTTTTCACGTTAGCGTAAAGAACTTCAATAGATACACCTTAGTAGTGTAACAAGGTCACATGAGGTTGCTGTGGGTGTAGGATTGCCATTTCCAAATACAAAAGACGGGCACGGCGCTGTGTTTGGAAACACATTTGGCCCTCAAATCCGAAAATTATCTTCTTTAGTAGCCAAAAAATAACTTTTATAAACCGAACACAAGAGCGGATCTATCCTTTGAGCCAGAGGACTTTCATAGCCACAATGGCCGATTTAAGAAGACGTCAGCGGTATTTTGTTTTCAGCGTATATGTCGCAACTCACGCTATTGTTACCTCATATCGGGAATTAATTTCGAAAGCTAAAAACCTAATGACCTTAATATATGTTGTAGTCGCATCGTTCTTATAAATTGTATGGTAAGTGTCAATAAATATATTCTTACATAAAGTGAGAGTTTGAGTAACAAATCTATCAGAATCAGTGTGACGCTTAATTTAATCTCTTTTCTCAATAGATCTGTTCAAGTCTAACAGAATCTTATGATTGCAAATCGTTTTTAAACTGAATAGTTGGAACCTTCGAGATAAGCCTACAGCTCTGCT